AATAATAATAATAATAATGATAATCATATGATAATGATAATAATAATAATAACAATATGTAATAAAATTATTATTATAAAACAATAACAACAACAACAACAATAATATTAATAATAATAATGAAAATAATAATAATAATAATAATAATGATAATAATAATAATAATAATAATAATAATAATAATAATAATAATAATAATAATAATAATAATAGTAATAATAATTATAATAACAACAGCAATAATAATAATAATGAAAATAATAATAATAATAATAAGAAGAAGAAGAAGAAGAAGAAGAAGAAGAAGAAGAAGAAGAAGAAGAAGAAGAAGAAGAAGAAGAAGAAGAAGAAGAAGAAGAAGAAGAAGAAGAATTCATAGTAATAATAACGAAAGACACCAGTAAAGTTGTATTACGCAAATTTGTAAACTGTTCTGCATTTTTGTAATATTGTGAAAAAATTGTTTATTTATGTATGTTTGTATTAAAATTTATAATTATGTATTGATTTATGTATAAGTATGTTTACCATTTTAAACCAAATTGCCATTCTGGGACAAATAAAAGTGTTATTTTTTTATTTGTTTATTTGTTATTACACATTATTGGTGTTGCAGCTGTTTGACGCCAGGGATGTCAACACCGCCCAGGGGATTTTCGACGCCATGTGCAAGCACATCACTTACGCTACCAACAAAGGGAACCTCAGGTCTGTCTGTCTGTCTGTCTGTCTGTCTGTCTGTCTGTCTGTCTGTCTGTCTGTCTGTCTGTCTGTCTGTCCCTTACTCTCTCTTTTTTTTCTCCTACTTTATCTCTTTTTCTCCCCCCCCCCAATCTCTCTTTTCTTCCCCCCCCCTCTCTCTCTCTCTCTCTCTCTTACACACACACACACACACACACACTCTCTCTCTCTCTCTCTTTCTCTCTCTCTCTCTCTCTCTCTCTCTCTCTCTCTCTCTCTCTCTCTCTCTCTCTTTCGTATTTTTGGCTTGGTTTGGATATTTTTAACGAAATTTTAATTTGATCCACTTTGGGTCAATGTGGTTCGTTCCATGAAGTCTGATTTATTTGGGCCGGGCTGAATCTTGTTAATGTTTTGTTTTGTTTTGTTAGATTGGTTGGACTCTGCTATGTCTCTCTGATTTGTGAGGCAGCGTGGTGGAATCTGGCTCTCGTCAATTTTTGGGCATGTACAGTTATTGGTATCATCTTAAAGTTTGTTCACTTGTCTTTATTTGGATGAACAAAATATCCATTTATCTTGAATACAAGTCGAGATATTTGCAAATGAAGGAGGTGGCCACTAAAGATTAGTTATTTCCTTAGTTTAAGAGTCTGTGACAACTGAAAATTTACATTTATTGTATCTTTAATCAACGTTTTTCAGAAAAATCCACACAGAAATGAGTCCTTTAATGGGTATGAAAGTGTTGAACCAAAAAACAAAAATTTGATAAAAATTCAAAAACCTACGGAAAAAATGCAGGTTTCTTCATTTTGATTATTTTGACGAGAGCCTGATTCCACCACGTTCCCTCACATTTGGTTAAGTTTGGTCCGTTTTTGTTTTCTTGGTGTTCACTTTGGTTTTCCTATTGGTGGAGAAGAAGAAGAAGAAGAAGAAGAAGAAGAAGAAGAAGAAGAAGAAGAAGAAGACATCAAGCATATATATCTTCCCGTGTGTCCCTAGATCAACAATCACAGTGTTCCGGCCACGCCAGGATGGACTGCCCGATCACCGGATCTGGAATGCGCAGGTGATCCGGTACGCAGGTTACAAAATGGACGACGGAAGTATTGTCGGTGACCCGGCAGGTGTGGAGTTCACAGAGGTGAGAGACGTACGGAGTGGTGTGGGGGTGGTATTGGGGGTGAGATACGGAGGGATGGGAGGTGGGATACGGAGGGGTGAGGGGTGTTGGGGGGTGAGAGATACGGAGAGGTGAGGGGTGAGAGATA